TCCAACAGAGTCACAAAATTTCGGGTTGAAAGAGACTTAAAATTTATCTAGTCCCATTCATCTACTTAATGTGGATGGAGAAGAGGCTCAAATTAGGTTAAATTTTGTTTTCCTGTATTGCTGAAGAGGCTCAGTGGGCCTGCGAATGTTACATTTTTCCCCCACACTGAGCTAACTTGGTTCCTGTTTTCCCCCTTTTCAGAGTTTAGAGAAAATAGCAGAACTCCATTGTACTGGGGTGGAGGTAGTCCTTCATCTCTGTAGTGCCAGAGTGTTTTCAGAGCTGTTTTGAACAAAAACATGTCTTTAAAGAAACCTCACATTCCAGAAAGCTAATATCTGTTTTCCATTATCCGAAAGATCTCATTAACGGACAGCATTGTCATAGTCACCTTCTGATTTTTGAAGATGAGGGGAAGTGAGAGTTACTTTTGTTGTTGTTGTTGTTGTAAAAATCTCATAAATAATGGAGTGAGCTTTCTAGAAGTGTGGGCTTTCCTATTTACTTCACCATGAGTATTTCAGAAGGATTGAAGGAAAAATGGTATTTTATCTTGTATATACTGAAAAATCAATTAGATGGGAGGGTCCTGGACTAGAGTTTTTTTTCACATATTTGTTTTCAGCTAATTTATCTTTTTAAAAATGCGATCAAGGATGGCATTGTGGTGCCGTGGATTAAGCCGCTGATTATAACATTCCGGCATCCTATCGTGGAGTGCCAGTTCGTGTTCCAGCTGTTCCACTTCTGATCCAGCTCCCCGTTGATGTGTCTGGGAAAGCAAAAGATGCCTGCCATTCATGTGGGAGACTGCGAGGCTAATAGCTTTGACCTGGCCCAGCTGTGGCTGTTGCAGCCATCTTGGGGAGTGAACCAGTGAGTGGAAGATTCTCTTTCTCCCTTTCAAATAATAAATGCATCTTTAAAAACTGTGAGTGTATCCCAGATCCCTGCTGATGCATGTAGGAAGACAGAGGAAGATGGCCCAAGTCCTTGGGTCCCTGTACCCATGTGGGAGACCTGGAGGAAACTCCTGACTCCTGGCTCAGTCTGACCCAGTCCTGGCCATCTCTTTTCCTCTATGCCTTTAAAATAAATAAATAAAAATCTAAAAAAAAGTGATTGTATCATCAGTTCCTTAATATATATTAACTAGTCACTGATTGACAGTAACTTTAGTAACAAGTTAGAAATTGTTATTCACATAATAGAAAGAAATCTATGTGTACATGGCTGTGGAGGCTATCAAACATCTTTACATCCATAAAAGTGGTAAGTTACACCTGACTCTAAAGAGGCTCTGCTGGGTCCTGTTGTGTGAAGATGGAATGTTATATTGGTATATTCATACAGAGCTTATGACCTTTCTGGAGTCTCAGAATGTTTTCCATTTCTTTTTTTTTCACTATTGATTGCTGCATCTCCCACATCATAGATAATTCACAGCAGATGATTTCTTTGTATAAGTCTTTTTTTAATGCAGAGTAAGTTGATATATCGCACACTATTTTCAATTGTAGAGTTCAAATAATCCATCTCTGGACAGTTTTTACATTACATGTTAAAAAACTGTGTACTAGTATGTGAGAGTATGATGAGGGGAATATGTATTTATAGTACATAATACACTCATCTTGACACTGCATTGAGTATAGTTTTCTAAACTGCAACAAAATGTGAACATTCATGTCAGAGATATATGTTACAGTGTCTAGGTTTACACCAATATTTTGTTAAATTTTCAATTTTAAGACAAACTTTAAATTTACATTTCACATGCTAAGAATAGTTAGATTTGGAGATACTTTTTTGTTATTTTACCCTCAACACATAAAGGGCAGAACGTGGTTTACAAATGCACAGACCAATGCGTGAAGGGAACAGTGGAAGCTCTAGAAACATTTTGCACAGCTAGAAGTTGCATGACACTTTCAGTTCTGAGTCCTGGAAGTCAATGTTTTCTTCTCATTTTACTCACAACTCTAATACTAAATGATCAGATTTTAAGAGAAGAAATTCAAAGAGCATTCATAAAAATTATATTTAAATGACTTACTGTCATTACTTAATAAAGATGTTTATTATTTTCCTTAAAAGTGTACTTTAAACATTATGTCAGGGTCAGATGTTGTGTTGCAGTGGGTTCATACGCCACTTGGGATGCCAGGATTCCATTTCAAAGTACCTGGCTGGTGTCCGGGCTACTCCACACTTCTGATTCAGCTTCCAATAAATGCACCTGCGAGACAGCGTATGCTGGTCTAAGTACTTGGGTTCCTGCCACTAATGTCGGAAGACCCAGATACAGTTCTCGGTTTCTGGCTGCAGCTTGTCCCAGCCCTGGCTGTTGTGGGCATTTGGGGAGTGAATCAGCAGATGGAAGATTTCTCTTTTTCAGATCTGCCCCCACCCCCACTTTCAAGTAAAAAAATTAAAAAAAGATCTAGAAACATTATATATTGTCAGTGGGTACTACATTTTATAATCTCTGGAAACATCATGGAAAAATCCATTACATTCCTAATGATGACTTTTTCAAAATTTTACAGGAAAATATCTTGTAAAAGATTTATACTTTAGAGCTCCACTTCCTGTGTTCCCTGCCCCAACACATACTCTCACTCCTTCCACATTCTACTTGAACTGGGGGTATGAATCCCTGCATACCTGTCAGACAAATCCGTGCCCAAAGAAATGCAAACATAAAGAGTGCTATTTTTATAATCAGAATAAAAACTAGTTAAAAATAAAATATGATAGTCCTTAGATACTTTTCAAACTTAATTTCTAAACATTTTAAAAATTTGTTTTGGACCTAGTCTGAGGTTGGTGAGAATTCTTGCATCATTACTTAAGCTACAAGGTTGAGAACAGACTAATTTAATCTGCCAGTTGTCTCTCCTTGTGTTCCAGAGTGGTTCAAATAAATTCCAGGTGTCTGTGGTCAGTGCGGCTCTGGAGGTTGTCTTGACTAAAATGCAGGAGAAAAACTGTCCTGGGTAGGGTCCTGAGAACACTTCTAGAGAAGTGATCTCTACATTTTCCTCATTTTGTATCTCATGAGTAAAAGACAAGTGAGCATACTCTGATATAGGTATAATTTTGAATTAATACATTAAATACACAAATAAATATTAATATATTATGTATATTGTTATATATATAAAATAAAAATATAAAACAGTGATATGAAATAAAGATATTTTAAAAATTAAATTTAACTTATTAATGGTACACCAAATCTTTTTGTTCTTAAATTGTAGATATTTATAGTGATATTCTAAACAGTTGGCTTTTAAATGTCTTGCTAATTAAAACAAATATCATTATCTAATATTGAAAAGGAAAACATAAACTTAGATTCATTGTTTATAATTATGATGCATATGCATTTTTCAAATAGTTTCTTTTGCCTACCTCTTGGTGGAACTTATTGATTTCTTCTCTTAGCATGGTTGAAAAGGAGCTTCTTTGAGGAATCAGAAAAATATATTTCTTCTAATTTCATGTATTAAAAATTTGTTCTTGGCATTATAACTATTATCATCATCTAAAATTTCTTTTTAGGAGTCTTTTTAAGCTCCTCATTCATTAATGAGTGTTGATTAGGTTAAAACTATATGCTGTAATTTGTGAATCTACTTCATAACCCAAAGAAAACAGCAATATGTTGTGGTATTCCAAAAATAACGTGGCATGGCAGGGGGTTGGGTGGGTAGGCATTTAGCCTTCTGGTTAGGATGATGGTTAAAATGCCCATGTCTCATAGTGGAGTGGCTGGGCTTGATAACTACCTCTGGGTCCTGACTCCAGCTTCACGCCAAGGAAGACCTGGGACACAGTAAATCACAGCTCAAGTAATTGGCCACGTGGGATACTGAATTAAAATCCCAGTTCTTCGCTTCAGCCTGGCCCAGTCTTGGCCACTGCAAGCATTGGGGGAGTGAACTGAACCAGTGGATGGGAGCTCTCTCTGCTTCTGTCTCTTTCACTGTCTCCCTACCTCTGATAAAGAGAGAGATAGAGAGATAGAAAGAGAAAGATAGAGAGGGAGGGAGGGAGGAAGGAAGGGAGGGAGGGAGAGAGCGAGCGAGCGAGAGAGAAGCTGAAAGAAGGAGAGAAGAAAGAAAAAAACCATAAGTGCAAAGATACCATCATCATCCCTCAAAATAGTACAGGGCAGACTGAACCATCAGCTGAGAGAACCTTTATTAAATATTAGTTAAATGTAACTTCCTTTTTATTTTTAAAGATAGATATAGATATAAATAGGAGTCTTATTTTTTCAACATTCATAGCTGTATTAGATCCCTTTGACAATCACCTGAGTCTCCCGTGGGGCCTTGGCCAAGAGGTATTGTACAGAAGATGCACAGGAGTATAGGTGAACAGAATTCCTGGCCCCTCTCCTTGCTACAATCAAGGTTGTAGCAAGGTCATTCGTTTGTTTTTTTACATTTTGAGCTTTCTGATATATTTTTATTTTAACAAAGGATTACGTAGCTTAAACATGTCTGAAATTCTCTCTGGAGAAGTCCATGAACCACATTTCTGAAAATGTTTGAAATTTAACACTGAATGGTAAAGTTTCAAAGACACCTCCTTTTATCAGCGAGCTAAGTATACTAGTTTTTGAAGTTCCTGGGTTTTATTCTTTTTTTTTTTTTACATGCCAAAACCACAACCTCAGAGTTAAATGAGAAAGCACTTTAGTCAAACATGCTGCAGTAGTTTTGAGTATAAGTGAATGTTAAACAAAAGTCACTTGATTATTGCTTATTACCTGCCTATATTCTTGCTGAACTATGGTCTTTTACTTTTCACTTGTTGAACTCTCTATTGACTGAACCATTAAGCCCTTGAATATAATGTAAATTAAAAATATTTTATCTCAAAAATAAGTAAAGAAAGAAGTATGCAATTTGTTTCTTCCTTGAGGCATCTATAACAAATTGAATACTTTATACATATCATATTAAAGAAGAACTTAAAAAAGGATATGGTTCTTGGAATATTGCAGTGAGTTTAATCTTGGTTTGTTTAAGGGCTTTGAAAACCCCAGTTAGATTATGCCTCTTAAGATAATACAGAATTAGTGGACTCTGACTTCCAACATTGAAGAGAATACGGTAAAACTCTGGACCAGTGCTAATATAATGAGACTGCAAGAGAAAGAAAAAAACATCAAGTCAATGACTACTTTTGTATTTCTAGAGAACTGTGAATAAAATATAACTTCATTATAAGTATAAAAAATTACCATTTGAAGTATTAAAATAAATAAAATTAAATATATGTATATTATATAATAATTGCCTCAACTAAAGGACTTTACCAAAGTATGAATCTATGGGTATATTCAGTAAGGCTCTTCTAACTTTTTCACTTATCATCAAGGTTGAGTACTGATAAATAAATTATTCATTCTGAAGAAAAGAAAGAAAAAGGACTAAAGAAAATGAACAGAGCAAGGAAAAGGAGGAATGAAAAACTATAAAGAAATAATATCCCAAACTTTCCAAATTATATGAGAACATATCCAAGAACTTCAATAGCTATAAATGGGATAAATTCACATGTAAACACATCTTAGACCAAGTATTTAATGACAAAGAGGAAATCTCAAAAGCAGCAAGAAAGAAACAACTCCTTACATACAAGGGACCCTTAGTAATATAAACAGCTGACTTCTCATCATAACAATGGAGGATTTTTTTTTTTTTTGCAGCAGAGTAGTATTCCACAGAGTGTGTGTATGTATACCATATTTTCTTTATCCAGTCATCAGTTAATGGACATCTGGGAAATGGATGCAACGGGAAACCATTGTGTTTAGGGAAATAAGCCAGTCCCAAAAAGACAATTATTATATATTTCTCTTGATTTTAGGTAACTAAAATGCAGAGTATAAAAATGCAATATATATGGGTGATACTGACATTTTGAGATTTGATTATTGTTTATAGCTCTTGTGTATATTCTTGAGGAACAGTGGTTTTGCTACTTACTACTTGTTGAACTCTTTATTTAGTGGAGGGTTATGCTAGTGATTATAAAGTAAACTGAAAGTATATTATTGTAAAAATTAAAAGAAAAAATGAGAAAGGAAGAAGGAAGGAAAGGGGAAGTATGGGAGGGAGGGAGGGAGGCTAGAGTGTGAAGTATCATTATACTCTTAAACCTGTATATATGAAATACATGAAATGTGTTCACCTTATATAAATAAAAAATTTAAAAAATTAAAAGGAAGACAAAATATGGAGGCCAGAAAGCAGTGAGATGACAGAATCACAGTGTTGTTGGAAAAAATAGTTGATCAAGAATTCTGTTAAAAAACAACAAACATAAATATAGTTACTCCAAGATCTTATTATTGACTTCTGATGGGAGACAAGTATAGCAACTACTTGTGTTTTAAGTTCCCTCAATCTTTGTAATGCCAAAGTGAGATGTTATTAACACCATTTCCTGTGGGGAAATAAGATTTTTATTTTCATTTGTTTTTATTGATACATACAATTCTCCTGAATTTCTTTTGCTTCTGATCACTTTTTCAACCTGTAGGTTTTTTTAAAAAGATTTATTTATTTGAAAGGCAGAACTACAGGGTTGGGGGTGGGGGAGAGAGTTCTTCCATCTGCTGATTCACACCCCAGATGGCCGCAATGGCTGGATGGCTGGAGCTGCACTGATCTGAAGCCAGGAGCCAGGAGCTACTTCCAGGTCTCTCATGTAGATGCAGGGGCCCAAGGACTTGGGTTATCCTCTACGGCTTTCCCAGGCCCTAGTAGAGAGCTAGAATGGAAGTGGAGCAACTGGGACTCGAACTGGCGCCCATATGGGATGTCAACACTGCAGACAGCATTTTTACCTACTATGCCACAGCGCTGGCTGATCTATAGGTTTTTATAACAATGTGTGTTTCAGAATTCCCAAATGCTTCAAAGTTATTTGAAATGATGAGACCATAATAATCAAAAGCAATTCTTTGATGGTGAAAACATAATGTCAATATCAGACATGTTTCAATTACATATATAATTTCTTTTTTCTTAATTTTCCATATTGGAGTGTCATGGTGCAAGTCTCAACTTTGCTCCAGATTCTAGCTTCCTGCTAATGGATACCTTGAGAGGCAGCAGGTGATGGCTCATGTGTTAGGTCACTGCCATTCATGTGGGAGACCTGAGCTGAGTTCCCACCTTGACCTGGCTCAGCCATTGCTAATGCAAGCATTTGGGAGGTGGACCTGAGATGGGAGCTCTCTGTCTGTATGTCTCAATCTCTCTCTCTCTTTGTCTCTCAAATAAATTAAATTTAAAAATTTAAAAATTCCCATAAAATTTATGTAAAACCAAGCACAGTTTAGATTTAAAAATAACTGTCCTGTCTGTAAAGATGTTTTGTTGCCCTTTTCCTGATTCTTCCATGGGTAATATAAAATAAATATTCTAACAATAAAGTTTTTTTTTTTGAAATAGACATTCTGTTATTTTTCTTCAGTTATGAGCTATTAAAGTAGGGAAAACCACAGTTTATAGTTTCTTCTTCCTCTATGAGGATCTATTATTTTTAAGGATATTCAACTAAGCAAGAGTAAAACTAGGTATTAAATGAAAATCTAATGCTTTGTGGACACCGAACCATTTTAAAAAAAGATTCTTTAAAGCACCAATTGCCAAGTTATTCCAAGAATCTTGATAGAGATATGCCTAATGGACAAATTGACAGAAACCCCAAAGCTTCCATTCATTTCACAAAAGATAATAGCAGAAATTTGTTCAAGAACTTTTAAGATTCCTTAAATAAGACATTTCTAGTCAAAAGTCAACTTAGCATTGGATTTGAAGAATCAAGCAACTCTGTAGACTTTAGAAGCATCATCAGGGATGAACTAGAGAGTCCAAAGGGTAGTTTTGGTGTCCAAATTTTCTATTACTTTTTAAAAAGATAATTGTTGACAATGAACAGAAAGCAAAATTTTCATTTTTGAGGTTTCTTTTTTTGACAGGCAGAGTGGACAGTGAGAGAGAGAGAGACGGTCTTCCTTTTCCGTTGGTTCACCCCCCAGTGGCCACCGCGCTGATCCAAAGCCAGGAGCCAGGTGCTTCTCCTGGTCTCTCCTGCGGGTGCAGGACCCAAGGACCTGGGCCATCCTCCACCGCACTCCCGGGCCACAGCAGAGAGCTGGACAGGAAGAAGAGCGACTGGGACAGAATCCGGCACCCCAACCGGGACTAGAACCCAGGGTGCCGGCGCTGCAGGCGGAGGATTAGCCTATTGAGCTGTGGCGCCAGCCTGATTTTTGAGGTTTCAATGAATGTTCTGCTAATGATCACATCCAATGTCACTTTCAGTGACAGGGAACCCACAGGCATCCATTAAGCATTTGGACAACTCCAATGCTTGGAAATTTTATTTTTCATAAAGTTGAGCTATAATCTGTCTCCCATAACTTTCACTTATTGGTAAGAGTTACACTTCTTTTGAACCACATGGGAAAAGTGTAATTATGCACCATAGTAGCTCTCTACTTATTTTAAAATAGTTATTATGGCTTCCAGAATCTTTTCCTTTCTATTTAAAAGTCCTTCATCATGTTGATTTTCTGTTTAAAGTATTTACATTTGTTTACAGGCTTTTACAATGTGGATCGCCAATAGCAACCATAGTACGCCAATTATTGTCTCATTAGCATGGAGTAGATCCTACATGTTATGAACTGAAGTTTTTAAAAAAATAATCAATAAACATTTTCTTTACACAACAAAATAATCAAGTAAATATCAAGAGTTTAAGTTTGCACATCAGTCTCCACAAATTTGGCACATTAAATCGTGCTATAATTATATTTGTATATTTTCTTTTTTGAGAAATATGACATGTAATTACATGACTATTAAAGGATCTGTTTCTTTTTACTGATTAGAATAACACCATGTCTTTCTACAAAAAGAAAAACTGCAGCCTACAGGAAAATTATCAAAACTGTCAGATTCATTGAGGCTTTCATTTAAGAAGTCTTAAATGGAAATTTTCCGAAGAGGAAAAATCTTGGTCTCCCTTACAGGTTTCACTCACACGGTCCTACAGGGCCGGTGCTGCTTATACATGCCTGCATTTGCTTTGGCTGTGCTGTAGATCATCGCCGATGAGACAGTATGGTGAAAGCCATGTGCCAACCAGTCCAGCTGATGTTGAGTAAAATTCTTTTCCAGGACTTCGCCCACTGTCACCAAAAGGCCTGACCACCTGATTGTATTCCCGGGGAGTTAGACTCTGTACTGGGACTAGAGGCACTGGTGTGACCTGTGTAAATGCTTCTAGATGAATGCCCTATACACGATCTTTAACCACCAAACAGCCAATGTCAAACCATTTGTCAGTCAGCAATTCTGCAATGAAGTTTTCCACTGACACAGTTTCTTGTGGACCATTCCAGTTCTACGCAAGCTATCTCTGTGTTCTTGGGCTCCCTTTAGACCATCTGTGACCACTGGTTGTGGGGCAGAGTTGGACTGTCCAGCTTCACCTACAACCACAGCGAAGTCAAAGACCTCCTGGAAGGTATCACAGACAGTAGCCACTTTTACTTCTTTGAGATCACTACAATATCCAGTTCACCTCCGGATTTTATATATGGAGCCGTGCCAGCATCCAGCCGGGTACTCATCAACCAAATCATCTTATCAAGCACAGATTTCGCCATAGGATTCCCAACCACACCCTTAATAAAACCCCAGATTCCACCAACAGATGCTTCATCCTGATTTTGTTTGATTCTAGGATCTTCATGTTCCTTTGAGAAAGCAATGGCCAACGTGGTTCCAGTTCCTTGTTCTAGAGATGTCCAGCTGGCTTGCTGAGTAGTAAGAGTTGGCAAAATAATGAGTTGGCAGAAAAGGATGACATCAGGGGCATCTTCATGCATGTCCCCTTGTAATGTCATGAGCTGAACCAACAGAAATCCTGATACAGGAGGACCCAGATTGGGTGCAGATGAAAGAGTACTTGGAGCAGAAGTTGAAGGTGGGAAGTGGGACAGATGAGGATTACTGAAAGCAGTAGCAGGTGATAAAGACACAGGAGGTGGTAGAGAAGTCTCAAGGGAGGGGACTGAAGGAATTGGGAAAGGTGGCACAAAAGGCAATGGTGCTGAATGTCTGGCAGGAGCAAGGGATGGCTGAGGAATAGAATACATGTGTGGTGGCAAGGACTCCGTAGAGGACACATTTACAGAAGAGAAATAACTGGGTACAGCTAAAGGAACTGGGATGGCAAAGGTGACAGCAGCAGCCAGGCCTGCAGGGTGTGGTGGAGGAGTTCCAGGTGATGTTATCCCTATTTCACTCTCTTCTATCATTTTTCCCTATTATGGTATACTGGGGCCCTGAGTGAACTCCTGAACAGCAGTTACAAAGTGCAGGGCAGGGAGGTCAGGGTGTCACACTGCAGATAGCAGGAGGCAAGGAAGATGCAGACAGGAGCTCCCTGGGCACTTCCCTGCCTCCAAGATGAATTGAATTTGTGTATCCCTGGGGGCCGGCTCCATGGTACAGTTGGTTAATCCTCTGCCTTCTGCGTTGGCATCCCATATGGGTGCCGGTTCGAGTCCCAGTTGCTCCTCTTCCAGTCCAGCTCTCTGCTGTGGCCTGGGAAGGCAGTAGAAGATGGCCCAAGTGCTTGGGCCCCTGCACCCACATGGGAGACCAGGAAGAAGCACCTGGCTCCTGGCTTTGGATCGGCGCAGCTCCCGGCTGTAGTGGCCATTTGGGGAGTGAACCAACGGAAGGAAGACCTTTCTCTCTGTCTCTCTTTCTCACTGTCTGTAACTCTACCTGTCAAATAAATAAATAAAATCTTAAAAAAAAGATTTTGTGTATCCCTTCCTAAATTTATATGGTGAAGCTCTAATTTCCATTGTAATGGTATTTGGAGGTGTGTGTGTGGGGGTCTTTAGTAATTAGCTTTAGATGAGTTTATCTATAGTGGGATTAGTGTTCTTACAAGGAGAAGGGGCAAGAGCTTTCTGTCTGCCAAGTGAGGATACAACAATGATAACAAAAGGTCATTTACACCCAGGAAGAGAACCCTCACCTGGAAACCAAATTGATTGACTCCTTGACCTTGGATTTTCCAGACTCCAGAACTGTCAGAAATGAATTCTTGTTTAATCTATCCAGTTGATGATTTTTTTAATGCTAGCCAAAGCTGATTAATTTAATGGGAGAAGCCCAATGATGTAGTAATATGCTGTACTACTAAATAAGATTTTCCAATAGACTTTCTATCATTTTGAGAGTGTTCATTTTGATTAAAGTTGCTTAGTCAATTACAAATGCTTTTGTCTCTATTTTTTTAACCAGTAAACAAAATAAAAGAGATTACAGTGCTTCATGAAGATTATATGTAAATTCCTACTACATTTTCCCAATTCCTAAATCTAGTAATCTTGCCCCAGAAGGAAATGGGGTGACATTGTCATCAATCCAAAATGGATTTCTGTCTAGATCATGTTTGTAGTCTAATTTACAAACTATCCTTGACAGCATCGTAAAAGTTGGAAAAAAGGTAGGAAGAGATTATATAAAACTGAAATACTAATGTTAAGGAAATATATGAACAGTGACTTTCAGAAAGTGGATTTTACATAGTTGTAATTTCTGACTTTAAACAATGGCCATAATTAACTAGTTGATTTAGACAAAATTTTATCAACAAACATCATACAGATGTAAAACCTAAATGTCTAACAAATTAAGAGACAAGATTCAGAATTTCAAGCCAATAATCTCATCAAATCTTGGTTAAAACAACACAAAGCAGCAAGTCGCTGAGATCTCTGGTTGCAAGGCAACTTCACGAACATGGAGAAACTAAGCACTCAATACTCAAGAGTCACAGTGGATATGTGGAGTCAGTTATGGGGACCATGGCTTAAGATGTGAGCACAGTCAACTATACTGATATTCCTTTGAGGTTTTCCCTGCCACTTTGATCTTTTTGAGATCACATCCAGGTGAAAACAGTAAAAGAAATCTGTGTGTCACATCAAGGAGAACCAATGTCAGGAAGTGTTGTGAGGAAGAGATAAATGCTATGAGTTTTTCTTTGGAGATGGAGATATTTTCATATTTTTATTATTAAGATTAATCCTTTAAAATAAACCTCTTTAATAACTATTTTTTTCCTAAAATGTGTGTTGAGAATGTTATAACCAACATTGCCTATGTGAAACCAGCAAATTTCAATTACACTGAAAATGAAACAAGTAAGAACATTCTTTATAATTACTATATTCCAAACCTTCATTGTAGGTCTTGAGTCTTCCTTGATTGTGGACGTTGTATATGCTCTTGGATTCTTTAAAATTTTTGCTGTATTGAAGTCTATAGCTGAAACAGGAAATAACACATTTTTAAAAATCTGATGTTTTCCTTCATAAAAAGGCATTGATACTCACTTTTTCCTTTTAGCAATGTACCCTAAATGTGGAGAGAAGTAAACATGGATGATAGAGGATTAGACATTGTTGTAACTTGTCCTGCTTACAGAAATGAATGTCCTTATATCATGTTTTAACTAAGTAGGGTCTTAGAGTTTATAGAATTTATTGATATCTATGATCTCAAGTTATCCCCACAAATCTGTATCATTTCCTAACAATTCAAGATGAGAAAACCAAAGTACAAGAAATTCTTTAACTTTTTTAAGCCACTGTTTATTAACTAGTAGAGAGCAGATCTAGTTCTTTTGTGTCTAAGTCCAGATCTCTTTCCATAACCCTCCAGGTAAGTACAGTAGGAAGCTTGGTTCTCTGCATGTCAGACTCCACTTTTCCCATATTCTGATATCTCACAGAGAAAAAAAGATTTGCCAATCTTTCTTTCCAATCAGCATTAAAATACATAAGAATACTGAGGCAAACTTTCAAAAGAAAGGAAAACCATATGATTAGATCAACACTGTAAATAAGACTAAAAGCACAAGCTAGGCATTACATATACATTGACACAGAGTAGAGAGGAAAAGGTTATTTGAGAGGTTTACTGTAGATTCTGGTACTGATTATCAGTGACTATGTAGGCTAGTTCTGTCTAGGATTGTAATATTAATGACAAACACTTAAGAGTTGAGGAAAGTCACTTGATTAATTTTTGATATCAGACAATCAGAAATTAGACATTAGTCTGAATTACCAGAGGACAGGAATTTGTCTCCACCAGAAATTAAAGGATTGGTTATTGAAATACATATTTTAAGTTTTGAGTAATACCAGGGTTACATTAAGGTAGAATTAGAATGTGCAAAAAAGGTAACAAACTATATACTTAAAATTTTAATCTTTACTTTGAATTAGTGTTAAACATATTTATGCAATATCAAGTCTAATTTTCTGTGAACAGGTATAATTTTAAGAATAAAAAGAAAGCTCTACTTCATTCATTTTACACACAATAAAACACTTATTTTTCAGATCACCTGATCCTGATTGCAGAATTATTGTAAACAGAAAGTAATACATTAATATCAAGCAAAGAATGTAATCTAGGAGTAATGGCAACAAACACAAAGAGTAAGACATAAATAAAAAACACAAACCAAAGAAATTTAAGAAGAAAAATACAGAGAAAAAAATTGGACAAAACTACACCCCTGCAAAGATATGAATAATAAAAAACATAGTCATCATTTTAAAAATTGTTTTATATTTTAGTCTTCATACTAAATATATGAATGGTTTATGCATCATGATTACAGTATTGAGCAATCTGTACTTGTACCTGCTATACCACAGCACTGGCTCCTGTATGGTCACTCTTTTTTTTTTTTTAATATTTACTTATTTATTTATTTGAAAGGCAGCGTTACACAGAGGCAGAGGTAGAGGCAGAGAGAGAGAGAGAACGAGCGAGCGAGAAATCTTTCACCTGCTTGTTCACTCCCCAAATGGCCACAAAGCTAGAGCTGAGCCGAGCAGGAGTCAGGAGCTTCTTCTGGGTCTCCCATGCGAGTGCAGGGGCCCAAGCACTAGGGCCATCTTCTACTGCTTTCCCAGGCCACAGCAGAGAGCTGGAGTGGAAGTGGAGCTCCTGGGTCTCGAACAGGCACCCATATGGGATACTGGTACTGAAGGTGGTGGCTTTACCCACTATGCCACAGCGCCAGACCCTGTATGTCTTAACAGTGAATTTTTTTCTCCCACCTTATATGTTCTTTGTACTCTTAATTGTCTCTTTCTTTTGGTTTGAAGAGCTCTCTTTATTAATTCCTTGTAAGGCAGGGCTGGTAGTGGTAAGTTCTCTCAGCTTTTGTTTGGGAATGTCTTTATCCCTCCTTACTATCTAAGGGATAGGTTTGCTGGATGTAGTACTCTTGCGTGGCAGTTTATTGTGAAAGTCTCATTCCATTGCCTCCTGGCCTGTAAGGTTTCTGCCAAAAAGTCTGCAGCTAGGTAAATTGGGACATTTTTAAGTGTTCTTTGTTTCTTTTCTCTTGCAGCTTTGAGAATACTTTTTTTGTCTATAAACTTGGAGAGCCTGATTATAATATGTCTTGGGCTGACCTTGCTTGAGTTGAATGTAAATTAGTGACCTCTTCCCTTCCTATACTTACATGGTTGTATCTTTCTCTCAGTTTGGGAATTTTCTGTTATCGTATCTTTGAATATGCTTTCTACCCCTTCGGCATTTTCAAGTCCCTTTTGAAACTCAACTTTCCCCAACTCACTGATTTATTTTAGGGAAAATACTAATTTTTCTCCCAGTTGTAGCTTTTGTGACTCTTCTGTTCTCAGCATCTCTGAGAGCTTAGACAGATTACCCGAGAAGCGGAGAGTGACAACATTTGATAAATCTTTAAGAAAGTACGTATTAATTGTTTGTACTAAGTCTTCAGAAATCCCACTAGTGAAAGATGGTCCCAGTCTTTTCCCACCTACAATGGTAACATTTCATTTTAAAATTAACGTCTATTTATTTTAGAGGTATTTGCTTCCTTACCAGGAGGTACACAGGTAAGTATGGCTATCTCTCTCCACATTTGCAGCTTTTATTCTAATAGTCTTTCTGAATTGCAAATAATTAATGTATCTTGAAAAAATTAAAGGTCAAGCACATTATAAATATTTAACTATAATACTTAAACTTTAGAAACGGAAAAACATTATTCATAGATGTACTTTAGAACACGCCTGATTTAAATCTGAACTAGTCTCAGAAACAGACTTATTTAATATTGAAATATAAAGGGATATGAGTTAAGAGAAGTATAACAAGATGATAGTTGAGTAAGAAGCCCTAGTAACTCTCTCTCTGCAGAGAAACCCATTTTTTAAGCTAAGTATGCACCAAGTAACCTTCACAAGAGCTAAAGAAGCCAGGTGAGAGGCCACAGTGCTTGGTTTTAGTGCAATAATAAAAAAAAGTCATATTGAAGAAAGTAGGAAGGAGAGAGTTGCCTGCATCAACCATTCCCCAGCTTTAAATAGTCTGGTGTAAAGATAGATGCTAGGGCTGGTGTTGTGGCACAGTGGGTTAAGCTCCTCCCTGCAATGCCTGCATCCCTTATGGGTATCAGTTCAAGTCCAGGCTGCTCCACTTCTGATCCAGCTCCTTGCTAATACACTTGGAAAAGCAGAAGATGGCCCAAGGAGTTGGGCCCCTGCCAACTACATGGGAGACTGGATGAAGTTCCAGGCTCCCGGCTTCAGGCTGGTTCAGCCTTGGCCATTGCAGACATTTGGGGAGTGAACAAGCAAATGGAAGATCTCCCACTCTCTATATATTCCTCTCTCTGTCTTTTCCTCTCTCTGTGTAACTCTAGCTTTCAAATAAATAAATAAAAAATATATAATTTTTAAGATAGACACCTTGCCTCCTACTTTAGGAGAGGGAGAAGATATTAAGTTTAGCCTAGAGACCTGAATCCCAGTGCCAGGCCCACCATGATAAAATTCAGCGTTCTCATACCTGCAAACTGAGTATTTGTGTTTTCCATAGCCGAGTGGCCAGCAAATTGCCTCTGCCACACTTTTCCCAGCAGATCAGGACTCCAGTTGCTGCAAGAGAGGAAGCTTAGAGCTTGCCTTGGAGCTTAGAGTTGGGCCCACTACCATAAGATCCAGATCCAGCACTCGAGAAAGGCCAAAGGCCTCTATCCCTCAGACCAGTGCTCACAAATGGAAATTCTAGAGTATTCAGGGCATCAGGCAGAGACCTGCTCTCTGGTGGGACAGACCCTTGTGTGTGTGTGTCTCTGCCAGCCTGAAATTCCCCTAGTATGTATCTCTGAACCTTACAGAATGCAGTGACTGTGAGATCCAGATGTGAGATCCAGCTTTGTGTCAACTTGGATGGGCAAGGGGCTGCCTTTATCAACCCTCCCCCAATCTTGGGAAGACAGCAAGGAACCACAGAACTGTGTCTTGGACTGCATGTCAGGCTGGTAAAGTCCTACACTAGGCAAATCTTAATGGTTCCTGTTTCTGGGTTAGTGCCCTACTATCTAGATTTGCCCTACTATCAGGCAGGAATACACGCCTTGATGGGACAGACTTGTTCCACAAGTTTTACTGCTAGCCTCATGCGGGCCTAGTGTGTACCATCAAAATTGAAAGGGACCTAGTGACAGTGAGATACAGGTGTGATCCATGCAGTGCCTGCTTGGGCAACTGATAGGCTGCCTGTATTACTCTTCTTTCAACCTTGGGCAGACAGCAAGGAACAACAGAACTATACTGGGTCTCAGTGCCAGGCTAGTAAAACCCAATATTGAATAAATCCTAATGATTCCTGTCACCAGGTCAGTGCCTGCTGATGGAGCCTCTGGAACTGCTCTGTTGTCAAAGAGAATTCTGTGACTCCGGTTGATCAGTCTTACATCATAGCCAGCATCAACAGTGGGTGATAGGAGCAGTCCTGAACTATGAGTTCATATTTGCTACAGACATATCACAGCAGGCTGGGCTTTGGTCCTACCCCAAGGCTGCATTAGTTTGGCAGGCTGTAGGTTCCAAGTGTGATCCACCATCATGATTTTGGTGTCCACAGCACTAGGTGTTCGGGCATACCCCAGTACTATGTATGAAGAGGCTTGTAGGGATGGACTATCCTCTTCTGGATACTTTCTCAATTCATTCTGAATATATCAACTGTTGATTTGGGACAAATCTGAGTTTGGGGTATATATTCATACTGAAACAGTGAAAACACACCAATAGCAGACTTGAAGTGAACCTCAACTTATGACATCATCTGGTATTGAAATAGCAGAGGCTTAGGAGAAAAAACAGACTGCTTCGAATTTCTGAAAAGGACAGCTACAAACAAAGCCAGGGACTCCGTGCCAAACAAAGCCAGATTACTATAACTAATCTTTCAATGCACAGATGATG